CCCTCAACCTTTTGATTTTTCCTCTACATTGTATTCTCTTTGCATCTGAATTGCTAGCACATTTTTAAAAACACACGTTTTAGGTAAAGGTATAAGTGTTCTGGAATGATGCCTTTATTTCTTAAGAGTAGTGTAATTTCAGTGAGGCACAAGGACTGGAGAGCCAGTTTGTTAAAATGGGACTTCACCTCTTTGAGGTATAAATATCACTAATCCTTCTAATGTACCTCACTTACTTTACACAGATTTATTTATTCTGTATTTGTAGGCTGTTTATACCTTAATTTCTCTCTACCGACAATATACAAGTTTACTGGGGAAAATGAATTCACAGGAGGAAGATGAAGTATGGCAGGTGATTATAGGAGCCAGAGTTGAGGTAAGCAAAAGATTGTCAAGCATTTCTGTATTAGTGTTCCTACCTCATTATGATGTCCAAATTATTGGATTAAAGTGTCTAATAAACTATTCATTCTAAATCTGCTAGTTTGAATAAATCCWTTTAACTCTTTGTATTGCCTAAAGCTTTTTGCTAACTTTACAGATGACTTCAAAACAACAAGAATACTTGAAGCTTGAAACCACCTGGATGACTGCAGTTGGTCTTTCAGAGATGGCAGCAGAAGCTGCATACCAATCTGGTAGGTTGAAGGGTTTTTTTGTTTTGTTTCTTATAAGGGAAGTACCAGTTGATTTTTCATCTAGCTGTAAGATTAGAGATTTAGATTAGATGATGTAATTGATGACCATTATTTAGCTTTGAGAAATTTTCCCCATTTCCAAAATAACCAATAGTTTATTTGCATATTAGGACAATTGACCACCCTTGTAGCTAGACCAGTTAGGGAACATGACCCCAAGAGGGACTCACATGACAGCCTCAGGGCCCCAGGCTTTCCTTGTGTCCATATGTGCCTTCTACCCTGCTCAAGCAGTTGTCCCATGTTTTGGCAGGAGCAGATCAGGCCTCTATAACTGCCAGGAACCACATTCAACTGGTGAAATCGCAGGTGCAGGAGGTGCGCCAACTCTCCCAGAAAGCAGAAACCAAGCTGGCTGAAGCACAAACACAGGAGCTACACCAGAAATCACAAGAGGGAAGGGACGAGAGGGCCGACCAGGAACAGGAGGCCTACCTGCGTGAAGATTGAGGGCCCAAGCTGGCTGCCCTTTCTACCCACTCATGGGGAAAGCAGAGGTGGATGCCATCCACCCAGCACAGTACAATTCTCTCTGCACAGAGAAGAGGCGGCAGGCCCTACCCTGGCCTATCAGGCCAGAAGCCTTTGTGAGCTCTGAATGCCTGGCCCTTTCCCCTATGGTCTCAGCTTTTACTGGACCTGGTTGTTAGTCCATGGGCTCTGTATGTGCCCTGTTTAACTTTGCACCCCCCTCGGCATACCTGCTCTCTCATTTTTAACCTTATACCCAAAGCATTTCACTGGCCAGGGCCAGAGAGGGGTCTTTTAGTCACTTCCTTAAGTTCAATAGCTGTTTAACCTCAGTTTCAAGCTTACTCAGATTTTCAAATATGATTTAGTATTTATTCCCTCCATAGGATTTTGAGTTTGGTGGGGAAGGGGAGACTGTCAGGTTTTTAAGCATATGTAATGCCTTCTCTGATATGGCCTTACCACCAGCTCCTTGGACAGGTAAGGCCAAGGAGCCAAGAGTGTAACTGTGAAGGGAATGAATGCAGAGTGTTCACCTGGTGCTCCCAACAGGACTTAACACATGCTTCTTGTGTTTCCTTCTTTGAGTTTCTCTATTGTAGCCAAAGGAGAATATATATATTTTTTTCCACTTAATTTTTGTGTGTCTTCTGGGGCCCTATGCAGTCACCTTCCTTCATTGCCCATTGCAGAGCCTCAAAGGGCCCTAGGGATTCCCCCCATGGGTTTCTGGCAGTGTTTGCTAAGTTTTGGCTCTCATCCAGCTAATGCTGGATACACCAAGTTTTAGCTTTTTTTTTTTTTAATTTTAAAAAACTTTTAATTRTTGATCTTTGTTTATATGTGGTGCTGAGGAGATATATATGTGTGTGTGTGTGTGAGTGGAGCCGCAGCCCCAAATTTTAGCATTTTTAAGAGAGCTAACAAGATAGGTTAATGAGAGCTAACAAGATAGGAATGGTTTGCAAAAATGAAATCGGCATTCCTTTTAGACCCTCAAGGATCCGTTTTTGAGGTTTTCAGTTTGTCTTCATGATAGAGAATCAACTGAGTCAACTCTAGGGCCRTCACTCCACTCACTCCTCAGTGCTGAAGCTTGAGGGTAGCTGCACACTTGAGCCCCTTGTCTGTCACCAGTGCCCACATGGTCCACATTTCCAGAGGATTCAGGCGGTGTACCAACAGGAGCCCTCTATATAGGCAAGGGTCCAGAGGTTGCCGTATTCCAAATGTTTTAAAGCCAGCATGGTGTGTGGGGTGTACCCCCAGCTTCTTCAGGCACATGCCCACAAAGACATCATCAGTAGGAAAGAGCTCAGTCCCCTCCATGGCTGCTTGGAGGTGCCTCATTGTGGCTCTGGACATGACATAGCCTCCACCCCCAGCATAGGGTGGGTAGTGGCGTGCCTTATACATGGAGGGTGGGATGAAGTATTTGACTCTGGTGTTCCTATTGGGCAGGGCCTGGTGGATGACATCTCCCACCAGGAGGTCCTGGGCTGGGTCCCAGCCATCCAGGAACTCTAGCACATTGGGGACATGGACAAAGACATCATCATCTCCCTTAAGCATGAAGTGGGCATGAGGACAAGCACTTGCCACCCAGCGCTGTAAGTGCAGTTCCTTAAGGGTTAGGTTGAAGAAATCCTCTGCAAAGTCCCACTGTAGGATATCATCAAACTCTCCACTCTCATAGGCCAGCAGCTGAGCTGGGGGTGTGGGCCCTGCCAGTCCAAGTAGGAACACCAGCTTCAGCTGCCTGTCCCTAACCCAGCTCCCTGCTCGGCCCCAAGTGCTGCGGATAGCTGCACGTTGCTCCACGTGACCAGGTTGTGATTTGATGGCCAAGAGCAGGAAGGTGTCCTTGGCACAGCCTGAAGGCTCCAGCAGGATGGAGAAATTTCGGCAGTGGCGATAAGTCAAGAAGAGGCRGTGACGACCAGGCAGGGATAGGGAAGTGCTAGCCACTGTGCGATTGGGTAGGCACTGGCTGTGGTGAGCCCCAGAGGGTTTCCAGAAGRGTTGGTGGGTCTTGAGGTCCCCTGCCAGGGGGGCCTCCTTCTTCAGAAAGAGCAGACAGCTGAGCAGCAGTACCACGAGACTGTAGAACAGCAGCCAGCCCAGCCTGTGCAACATGGTGGGCCCTGCAGGAAGAGAGTGCCTGAGCCATTCCTRTGCCCCACCCCTGGCCCTGACAGCTGAGCAACTGCAACCCTGCAGCTAGTCTTTGCTGGACTTCATTCAGGATTGCCTTTTAATTCTCAACATATCCTTTGGCTCTTTGATTTTCTTCCCACCCCCCAAGGATGAACTAAGTACACCTACTTTTGCCTGCTTTTCTGCTGAGGGGAGGGCTCTGGGGTCAGTGTTTTCCCAAAATGACTTGCAGTCATATTGACACCGTAAACATTCACAGCCTTTCCAGGAAACTACCTGACAAAGTTTCAGTGAAATGGGGCAAACTTAGTTTAGCTTTGTGTCAAATTCCTTCTAAGCATGAGATGACATTCAGAGCTCTTCAGATCCAAAACTACTGCACCAGTTAAATGGCAGGCCCTGTGTTGGGTGTTTCTGATGACAGAGCCCCAGGTACTGAGGTTAGGGACTGGAAGCTATGCAGCAGAAAACACTCCCCACCTATCTTCTCTCAGCGTTCTGGATTTCTTGATGGAATGAGCTGAACTAAGGTTTCCGACAAAAATCACATAGCATGACAGGAAGAAAACCTGTATCAGGGAATATGCACTAAGGCTACCCTGCCACCTTAGCCCTTCCTACCACTACTGAGTTTTGAGTTCTGTCGTGAAGTTTGTCAAAGAGAAGGTTGAGAAAAGCCAGATTTCAATTTCTCCTGTCATTTGCCTCTGCCTCTTTTCCCCTTTCACCCTCAGTCCCCTTTCCTTGATCTTCATTGCCACATCATCCCAATCTTTCTCCTTCAGTATGTCTAGCTGCATTAACATCATCCTTGTCCCTAACATTTCTAGTGCTAAGTCAAAATGCATACCAAGAGATGTACTGAGAAGAAGTTARTAGAATGAAGTGGTTTGGGGAAGGTTGCTTCACCTAAGAACCAAGAACGCTGTCCTTGATAAGGGGACGTTCAAGCAAGACCTTTGAAGCAAGAGGTCAGATCACATAAAAATGTGGGGAAGTGAATGCCAGGCAGAGGCCACAGTTCATTGTGGAGCTAATGTAGCCAGGGTTGAGGAAGTGTGATCTGCTGTGAATGAGGAGGAGGAAAACTAGCAAAGCCAAAGTGAAGTGAAAGCAGCAGCCCTAGGCGGTCAGGGAAGGGTTGAGGAGCACCACTGGAGGCTGTGGCAGAGAAGCAAAATAATTTTCATTGTATTAAGGTCACGCCTGTCGCTGATGCTGCTTTGATGGACTATTAGAAAACCAAGTAACAAGACAGGGAGACCCTCTAGAGAATGAATTAGAATTCAAGGCGTGGCTGTGGCATTGTGGCAGCTCCTGGATCTCAGTTATGCGGGATCTGCGGCAGTAGGGGAGAACCCCAGACGCGGGGAGGTTCCAATAGCAGAGAAGGGCGCAGAGCTTTGGTTCTGTTCGTGATATCTCAGAAAGCTCTCCCCGGCTCGCCAACTAGCGTAAATCCGCCCTCCGCCGTCGAAACTGCGCGCAATTCCCCACAGGAGAAACCGGATTGAGCGCCGCCGACGGCCTGAACTAGGGTCTCGCCAGGGGGCCTGCCTTGGTCCCACACACCAGCGCATCCTAATTTAACTCCTGCTAGCTGACGTCTTCCCCCATCGCTCTGCTGACCCCAAAGCCGGGCGTGGGCTTCAGAGGGTGCTCACACCCCGCGAGAGGGATGCAGAGTCCTGAGGGGCTGCGCGCGTTCCTGGGGTGACGCTACCGGGTGAGAAAGGGCCAACGTCAGGTTCATTCTTTCAACACGAGGGTTTCCTGAGGACGAAAAGGACTGCCCTCGCCAGAGCAAGGACCAACACCGTTAGGGGTACACACTCCCCGCCCCCCGGGCGGAGCGCGGCGGGTAGCGCGCGGCGGCGGGGCAGATTGCCCAGGTGGGCCCGGGCGCCATTCTGCCCTGAGAGGCGCGAAAGCCTAGCGGCCCTGGGGCCCCGCACCACGCCAGCCTGAGGTCGCCCACCAGCCGGGAAGTGCGTGGCCAGAGTCGGCGCCGGTAGCCGCCGGGCAGCCCACGCCTCCTCCCCGCGCAAGAGTGGCAGCCGTCCCAGGCCCTGCACGATCTGTCCCCCTGACGTACCTAAGCGTGACTCCGGGTCGGGGCACAGGAGAGAAGCTCGCACAGCGGAGCCAGAAAATGGAGCGCTTCAAGGAGCCGAGCTCGCGGGGCTCGGGCCGCCCGCGGAGCCGCGAGCGGAGGCGGGGCTTCCGGGGGCCCGGCCGCCGCGCGCCCGCCCTGGTGGCCTCCGCAGCCCGGCGGCTCCGGCCCCGCCTCGCTCTCCCTCACCCTGCGGCCGCCCTCCCACCCGGGGCGCTCCCGGAGGCCCAGACGWGCGGCGAGACGGACGCGGAGGCGCGAGTGCGCAGAACAGCCTTTACTCGGGCGCCTAGAAGCGGAGCGCCTCCTCCGCGGTGCGGTACTGATTCAGCTGGATCTGGACCTCCACCGTCAGCGGCTCTGGCTGGTAGTCACTGTCGAARCTCGGCATCTGCGGTTTTGACTTTTCTGAGAAAATTAAAACATAAGCAATGGGTCCGGAGCGATGTGGGGACTGCGGTCTCCATGCACTGAACACATCCCCAAAACCCAAGTCCAGGGAGGCACAACTCTGAATTGGATCCAGGTCTGTTAATAGAGTAGGGAATAGAATTGCGTTTAAYTGGAGCATTTAATGAGTCACAGCTGTTTGAGTTACAAGAAAAATTAGCTGTTTCTTTCTTAGACCATTTTAAGTTGAACTCTGACGAACTATGCATGTTCAGTCTTGGGTATTTGACAATTATTTTCTTTAAAATGAAGTAAGTATGGCACTTTGGGGAAAACACGGGACTGAAAGCATTTTGGTAAATTTATAACATTTGAACTTTCAGGTAGAAATTAGAATTTTGGAACACTGCCACCATGAACTCAAGGTTCCCAATACTCCAAGTCTTTTCTAATGATGTGAGTGGTGATATTTAAGAACGTGACTTTTGGGGCTGGGGTTGTGGGTTGGCTGTAGAGCGCTTGCCTAACGTGTGAGGCACTAGTTTCAATCCTCAGCCCCACATAAAAATAAATAGAATAAAGGTATTGTGTCCATCTACAACTAAAAATGCTTTTTTAAAAAACGAATGTGACTTTTGGATTTTTAATGGAATGTTTAAGTCAATGTTTGTTATCTTACAAGTAACCGTGTTACCAGTAGTGCATGGTTAAAATATCCATTCAAAATGCAAAATAAAACAGGTATGGAGGCGCATGCTCCGGAGGCTGAGACGGGGGATCAGGTTCAAAGCCAGCCTCAGCAATAAACCAGACACTAAGCAACCCAGTGAGACCCTGTCTCTAAATAAAATATAAAATAGGGCTGGGGATGTAGCTCAGTGGTTGAGTGCCCCTGAGTTCCTGGTGTGTGTGTGTGGTGTGTGTGTGTGTGTGTGTGTGTGTGTATCAAAATAGATCAATGTACTTTAATGACTAATTGGATTGAAAAAATCAATATATATTCAGTTTTCACTTTGTAACAAATGTAATAAACTAGCTTGTCAAATTCATTGTAACATCAAGGAAGAATATCCATAATTCTTTGAAAGCCTATTAAAATATTCCCCTCTTTTCTAATTATGTGTTGGTATGAGGTTGGATTTTCTTCATACACTTCAACAGCAATATATCAAGAGTTTTGCTGTAGAAGCAGATATGAGAATCTACTGTCCTGTTAATCCAGACATTTAAAAGATCTTTAAAAACAAACCTGAAAAAAAATTTAACTATCACCAGGCAGCCTGCCCATAATCCCAGCTACTCAGGAAACTAAGGCAGGAGGATTAGAAATTTCAGGACAATACTTTGCAGGATCCTCTCTCAAAAGYAAAAATAAAATAAAAAGGGCTAGGGATGTAGCTCAGAGGTACAGCGCCCCAGGTTCACTCCCCAGTACTGCAGAAAAAAATAAACTCTCTTATCTCCACAGATAAGTGCCACAAATCATGTGTCCACATATGCATGGTCTTGAAAGTCCAATACTATGAACCTCCCAATTCATTCTTTCTCAGAACTGTTTTGGGTCCTTTTCCTATGAATTTTAGAATCTGCTTGCTGAGCTGGGTGTATTGGCACACGTCTGTAATTCCAGCAACCAGGAGGCTGAGGCAGGAGGATCACAGGTTTAAGGTCAATCTCCACAAGTTCATTGAGATCCTTTCTCAAAAACAAGATATAACAAGGTCTGGGGATGTAGCTCCGTGGTAAAGTGCCCCTTGGTTCAATCTCTAATATTGGTGGTGAGGGGCAATACTTAAGTTTTTAAAAAAATCTGCTTGCTGATTTCTATAAACCAAAGACTTACCAGGATCATTCCATTATGTGGAATCTATAGATCATTTGAGAAGAAACTATATCTTAACAATATTTTCATCTTCTAATTCCTGCTTATAGTATACCTCTCCATTGATATAGATCTTTAATTTCTGTTCACAATGTTTTATAGTTTTCAGTGAACAGGACTTCCACATCTTTGGTCACATTTATTCCTATATCATATTTTTCAATGCTATTTCTTCTTTGACCCACAGGTTATTTAGAAGTGTGTTGCTTCATTTCTAAAAATTTTGGGATTTCTTGGATCAGGATTTTACAGTTTCAGTTTTCATCTTCCMCCCACCCCACCCCCCATTTTATAGGATTTTGCAGTATTGTCCAGGCTGGTGTTGAAATACTGGACTCAAGGGATCCTCTCACCTCAGCCTCCCCAGTGCTGGAACTACAGGCACATACCACCATGCCCAGATCAAATTTTGAAATGTGCTGGTCACAGTGGTGCAYGCCTGCAATCCAAGGAGTTCAGGAGGCTGAGACAGGAGGATCTTGTGTACAAGGCAACCTCAGCAATTTGTCAAGGCACTTAGCAGCTCAGTGAGATCCTGTCTCTAAATAAAAT